TTGCAGATTCAGAAGTCGTGGCTTCCTTGAGGGGGTCCGTCCCTCTTGCATTCGGCTTTTTAATCCTCTTCATCGTCATCTTAGAACTGCCAGGCTGGAAGGGACCTTTTGGGTCATCTAGTCCAGCCCCTATCAAGGAAGCCCAGTGGGGGATTTGAACTCCCAACCTTTGGCAAGCCAGAACTCTAAACCCCTGAGCTACCCAGCTTTGCTTACTGGCTTGCCTAAATGAACAGGAACAAACACTGCTAAGGGGTTGTAACTACTACTACTACTACTTCATTATTATTGTTATTGTTGTTGTTGTTAAAGGACCTGACAGAGTTCAGACCCTCTCATGGAGGCACAGTGGGATACTGAACTGGCAACTTGAAAATGATGATTTCCCACCCCAGTTTCCTCCCTCATTCCTGCCTTGGGTCACCCTGAGTCAAGGGCGACTGGACCACACATCATCACAACACAATGGCCACCACCTCAGCTTCCCTGCCTGTGTCACCTTTTCTTTTCTCCCCCCCCCCTTCCAACCTGTCTCCAGGCCCTTCTACCAAGACCAGCTGCGTTTTTTCCAGCTCAGTAACATGCATTTTTTATGATCGGGGGCTCCCCGCGAACCGTGTGTGTATGGAAGACAACGGGGTGGGAGGAGAGAGAAAACCACACAGCGCAAAAAAATAATGGGGGGTGGGAGAGAGAAGGGGTGGGGGAAATCAAGGGCATCTTGCATCCTTGTTTTTGTTACCTTTCTCTCTCATCCCTCTTGCCATTGGTCCTCTCCATGGTTACCAAAGACCCATTTCTGGGCTCATTGGCTGGACCGGTGAGCATCCTTTCAAGATGCTTCTCACTCCCACCACCCTTTAAGATTTTCAATTTACTCTCTTTTTTTTTAACTCTCTGCATGGCACAAGCTACCGGAGGTGGTGGGGGAGGACGGACGGACTTTTCCCCATGCAAAAATGCATGACACTTCTGAGAGGTCAATGTGGGTGTGAAAGAAATCTGGATTCGTTTATGCCGTGTTTCCCCGAAAATAAGACAGGGTCTTATATGAATTTTTGCTCCACCCCCCCAATAAACAAACAACAACAACGCAGTAGGGCTTATTTTCAGGCGATGTTTTATGTTTGTTTTTTTCCCCATGTACAACCGTCTACATTTATTCATGTCATCTTCTGGTTGCTGCACAAAGGTGGAAGGCGGGGTTTCACTTAACTAGGGTTTATTTTGGGGGTAGGGCTTATATTTTGAGCATCCTGGAAAAAAAACCTACTAGGGCTTATTTTTAGGTAAGGTCTTATTTTCGGGGGAAAACAGAGTCGTTTGTGTTTCATTTTTTGGTGGTTCCCCCCACCCCACCAATTCTGCTCTGATTTTATTTCTGGACTCTCTCTCCATTTAAAATATTCTCTCCTCCTGGCCAACAACCGAGGGGGCAGCATGCACAGTTTAAAGCCAAATTTTAAAAGCTTAAAAATAAACATAACTGCACATTTTTTGAAGAGTTAAGACGCTGAACAAAATCAGCCAAGGTGTTTTAAAGACACATTTTCAAACCCCCCAGCTTTTGGCATCGTGCCCTTGCCCTCCTGCAGGGGGGGACGCAGCTGCTGATGCTCGGACATGTGGGGGGTGAATGGATGCAGACGGATCCGGATAAAACTCGCTTTTCCTTCTGCATCGCTGGGCACCCGAATCCAGGCCAGCCGACTGGGGTTCGCCAAGAACTTGTTTTGTTCTGGATGCCTGGCCCTTCTGCACCGGGGTTTTTAATCCTTGCACACTAGCAAAAGGTGGGTTTTTCCAGGTCCTAAAATGACACCCTCCCCAGTACATCATTATCAGCTAGAATAATAATCCTTTTAGAACGGCAGGGCTGGAAGGGACCCCTAAGGATAATCCAGTCCAGCCCCATGTCCAGGAGGCAACATGGGGGATTCGAACCCACCATCTCTGGCTCCACAGCCCAGAGACATCAAGCCCTGAGCTATTTATTTGGCAGAGGTTACAGCCCAGTTGGCCAGCGCCATGTCTGTGGCTGGCCCAAATGGGGCACAGGATGTAACCCTCTGTCTTTGCCAACAATGGCTCAGAGGGAAAAGATGCCTAAGGGGCAGGCCATAAAATCTTTGTTAAGCTATATTTCATAGGGGTGTCTGGTTTGGTTTTCTGTTTTCTCCTACTAATGTCTTGGAGGGAGTTATTGAGACTATAATTCCAGTTGATGAAAGGGTGGGGGAAGGGAGTGGGCTATTCTGGGGTACTTGAAGCTTTTCTGCTATGTGAATCAGTGAGATTAAATTTTGGGCATAAGAAGTCTGATTATTGGGACTGGGGTGTGTGTGTTAAAATAACACACACACACTGATGCACAAGTGTTAGTTTGCATGTAAAGTGAAGTGAGAGAATGGAGATCAAAGCATTCCCCCCACCTCTCTTTGAATAGCAGAATTTAATTGAGTTTTTCCAGACCATTTTTTTCTAGGATGGGTGAGAATTTTATTTCATGTGAGGTTTTTAAGATCAGAGTTTATCAGCATCATAATGGGAACGGGGCAGTTTCTGCCCAGCTCAACCGAGGACAGACGAAAGGCTGTCGAGCAGGGTCTGTTTTAAGGCATGGAACTCTTTGCCACTAGATGAAGCTTCCAAAGCAAAATGTGATGCGTTTCTTCTGATCTACATTCTGTGGCAAAGTCAGATTAAGTGCGCCCCCGAATCCTGGCTTAATGTTTGTCGTCTTTTGTGCGTCGGCCGCGTGGATTGGTGTATAAGGGGGGATATGCATTAGCTAGCAATGCTGGAGTTTATGTTTCAGAGGGAGTTATAGAGACCATAAGGGCCCATATAGAGAAAGGAGCGAACCACTCCAGCAGAACTTGAAGCTATTCTGCTCTGTGATCTCTTCTTAATTAGCTGTGCTGTGCCATGAGTTGGGGGGGGGGTCGGACCCGATGGCCTTATAGGCCCCTTCCAACTCAATTATTCTATGATTCTGTGCCATTGCATCAATGCCAGGATAACTAGCCATAAGATGCCAGCCAATATATTTTATTCCCAAGCACTTGTAAATTAGATTGTGATTTTACATAGTTTTTTTCTAGCCTAGGACTGGACTGTTTTGGTTAAGGATGATGAGAATTTTCTGTCCTTAAGATGTTGGGCGACAAAAGATCGTCTTGGTACAGACTTGCGATGATGGTGAAACAGATCCTCCATGCACAAGAGAAGTCTATCGCAGAGCACTGGCTGCAGGAAGGGCCGTTGTCTTCCCAATACAGGCTTCCTTGGCGGCATTTCTATACCTAAATTGCTCCTCCTCTGGTTCTGTCACATTATTGGATGGCTCTGTGTGAACGGCGGCTCCACACCGGGTTTCAGTATGAACTTTCTCCTGGAACCTCAGAACCCCAAACATCCAGCAAATTGGTTTTGCAAAATGAAAAGCCACGGAGGCCCTCTTTTGTGGAAGGCTGGGCCGTCTGACCTGAATTAAAACCTCCCTCGACGTTAGTAAAAGCACCTTGTGACGCTGGTGGCGCCACCGAGAGGCACATGTGCTTCAGCATGTGCTCCACGCTCGACGGCGCCTCGGAGCTCCGGCCTCAGGTGGCCCACATGCACGCACAAGCGCGCGTGAAGTCTCCCTTCCCGGGTGCGTGCCAGCCAGCATTTGACGGGTGTGGTCCGATTGGCACCCTCAGCGCCACGAGAGAAGCCACACGGTGGGCCAGCGGATGGCTTCCGCGGAGATCCCTCTGCGCTGCTCGTTCGCATCCAGCTGCTAGTCAATCAGCTCTTCTCGTGGCAGGCAATCAGAAGAACGGCTGGAGAGCTCAGCGGTGGAGGTCTCTGATTTTGGAATCAGAGGTTCGGAGTTCGAATCCCCCCTGTGGGGGGTCTCCTTCCTTGACAGGGGCTGGACTGGATGCAGCGGATGGCTTCCGCGGAGATCCCTCTGCGCTGCTCGTTCGCATCCAGCTGCTAGTCAATCAGCTCTTCTCGTGGCAGGCAATCAGAAGAACGGCTGGAGAGCTCAGCGGTGGAGGTCTCTGATTTTGGAATCAGAGGTTCGGAGTTCGAATCCCCCCTGTGGGGGGTCTCCTTCCTTGACAGGGGCTGGACTGGATGCTCTCATAGGCCAGAGGTTCAGAGTTCGAATCCCCCCCCGGTGGGGGTCTCCTTCCTTGACGGGGGCTGGACTGGATGATCTCATAGGGTCCCTTCCAGCTCTGTGTTTGTAAGATGATGGTGATGAAGAAGAAGCAGCTCTCACTTCTCCCAGACTATCCTGTCCCTGGTCCTTCAGAAAGCTGCGGTCTGTTGAATTCCTAGGCTTACTTTAAAGAGTCGGTCCATCTCGGATTGGGCCCTCCACCTTTCCCAGTGTGGTGGACTTTTCTGAAGGGCCCGGTCTTCTCAAGATGTGTCAAAAGTATACAGTACCAAATAGATTCTCTACTGCTACAGCAGCTGCCTTTTTTTCTCTCTGAAACATGAGGACTAGAGTCTTGGTTTCATTTTAAGGAGGTTTTGGGATGGAAAAGGCCACATATTCTATAGCATCCTGGAATCGGCCCCCTCGAAGGTCACCGACTCCAACCCTTGGCAGGAACCCAATTCCAGGCAGCTCCCACAGAGGGCTGTACTTCAGAAAATACCCTGTTTTAAAAGGAAGAGCGGAGTCTCAGCGTGGGGTCTCACATCCCAAGGTCGGCCCCCAGGTTTTCTGAGCGGCTCGCAGGCCCATCAGCGCACGGCGAGAAAGAGTGCTGGAGGGAGCAACGGTGTAAACTGGCGCCCTTGTCTTGTGAAGGGTCTGTTCTTATTGTGGAGTCATGCCGATGTGCTGGAATGAGCAAGAATGCACCCGGCTAACAAAGACCCGTGAGATTATGGGGTGGCGAAGGAGGGGAGGAAAAGCACGGAATGGGGGGAGTGCACCTCCTTCGAGCTCAGCGCATCGCTCACATGACTTGTCATTAGCTGCCGAGGACCGCCACGCACGGAGCAAGCGCCCACCGGCTTTGGGGTCCCCTCTTCCGAAGCCACGACCCGACCCGCGCACCAAACAGCGCATGGAGCATGGTTTGGGGTTTGGAAATGGGCCCAGGGGCCGGGAAGGAGGACTACAGAGCCCCTGACTTGAAGAGGTGGAGAAAATGAGGGACACCAAGGTGAGACGAGATCTCGAGAAAGCGATTTGCCCACGGCCGGGCACTCAGCGTGCATGTATGCGCTGTTCGTGTCCTGGGTTCTTTTTTGGGGGTTTTCCCATTTCTGCCCAGGACAGGGGTCTGGAGCTTCTTTCTAAGCTGCCTTTCCCGTCACGAGCGGCTCGAGGCAGGAATCACAGGAGGACAGGGATGATCGGATGGTGTGCAAGCATGCGGGAGGTGTCGGTGAAAAAAAAGGGGAGCGTCCGTGCGTCAAGAAAAGGTGACCGTTGATCTCATTTTGGAGTGGAAGGAGAGAGAGAAGGGAGTCAGGGAGAGGCACATCATCTCTGGGAGGATGACAGACAAAGAGGTGAAAGGGGGCCGAGCGCGCATGAGAGAGAAAGAAACAAAGGATGGGTTGATGTTTGAACGGAGGGGGCGGTAAATCCTGCAAGGAGGTAAACCATAAATGTGGGTCCAGATCCACCCCAAAGCTGCACCCCATTGCTGCGAAATTCTTACGCCTTCCTCCAGGACATCCATTTGGGGGTGTGCCAAAAATATCTCCTCCACCAAGGTGAGTGTGGAAAGGTTTCCGTTAAGGACAGAACAATCGAGGGATCTCCAGGCCTCCCCGACGGAGGAAGAGCGCAGATTTGGGATCTTCCCAGCGCCAGGTGCAGCATCGGCAGTGTGGAAATCCCCAGAGGGAGATTTCGCACGGGGGTTTCACACCCCCGGCTAGCTGGGTTCTGGCGCACGGCCGGCGCCGCTTAGCCAGCTTTGGGCAATACCAAAGCAGGTCTGGAGCATCTCGGAAAGGAAATGGAGAGAACCTTACAAAAATCTGACGGAGAACGAATGGCCACAATCTTGGGGTGCGGGGAAAAAAAGGGAGACGTCCAGGGGGGCGACTTGGGATGGTTGAGAGATCACAGCCCAAGCCCTCTGCATGTGGTCAGAGGCTATGGAGGCAGCCTGCTCTTTGCAGCTATGGCTCCGTGCATTTTTCAGGAGATGCGCAAAATTTCTTCTTTCCTGCACAATGGACCAGCGCATGGCTTCTCTCATAGTGGGACGAGTCCGGCCCTTCTATTGTGTGGCTCACTCCCATTTTTCACCTTTTTCAGCTGTTCTTTTTGAGATGGGGGTCATGGCCCAAACGGCGTGTTGTATTCCACTTGCTTGGTGTCACACAGCAGCTATCGATTGATTCCTTCCTTCCTTGATCCATCCATCCATTTATTGACTGATGATATTTTTTACTCTGCTTTTCCCATTAAATAAAAAAGGACCCTGGGCAGCTTACCTCTTTAAAAGATAATGTTTAAAGCCAAATACAATATGGAAACAAACACTGAAAAAGATCTGACGAATGTCATGGTAAAAAATAAGCCACATCCAAACACTTTTAAAAGCAACAAGGCATAACTATCTCTTTAAAAACCCCGCTCAGGCCACCAGTCACACAGGGAAAGCTGGACTGAAGAGAAAGGTCTTTGCTTGCTTGTGGAAGGGCAGCAAAGACAAGGCCAGATTGGCCTCTAGTGGGAGGGAGTTCCAGAGTCTGGGAGCACCAGATCTGACTCCTTGAAATAAGAATTGCAAAGATGGGGCCAGATTGGCCTCCAGTGGCAGGGAGTTCCAAAGTCTGGAAGCAGCCACCGAGAAGGCCCCTGTCTTGTGTCTCCCCACCAAATGTACCTGTGAGGGTGGCAGGACCTGTTAGCTACTCGATAAAGCTGGGAGGGTTGTTTTTCTTAACCAATATATGTGTTTTTTTCTGCCGGGATGATCAACATGCCTGGTCCTGTCCCCTTTCTTTCTGCCCTGTTGCAGCCCATGCAGGAGCTGAAGATGTCGGGGGCCATCGCATCCTATGACCAGCTGGTGAGGCAAGTGGAGGCCCTGAAGAAGGAGAACACTCACCTTCGGCGGGAGCTGGAGGACAACTCCAGCCACCTCTCGAAGCTGGAAAATGAGACCTCAGATATGAAGGTGAGCTCCCCAAAAACCTGGTGCAGATGGTGGTAAAGAACGACAGGGGTTTTGTGCTGGCCCTGGGCTTAGCGGGGAGAGCAAGCAACCCAAGGAACCCGGTGCCTTGGTTTTCCCTGATTTAACAGGACAGGGAAAAATTCCGCTCTGGGCTTTAGTCCGAACTTTGCATTCAAGATGCCAAAACCAGCGTTTAGGAAGGCAGCTTTGAACTTCAAACTTGGAAGTGCCTCAATGTTGGGTTCTTCGACTAAAACCCCTGGGGAATCGGGGGGGGGGAACGTCATCACCCAACAGCGTCAACCTCCGCAGCTCTGGTTCGGATAAAAACCCGAAGTGGGTTCGTGATGGAATGGGAGTTGCCGGTATCAAATTTCCCCTCTACCCAGCCCCCGAAATCCACAAAATCTCAAGCAAACACCCCCTTCTTGATGCTGGGGTCACTCAATGCTTGGTGTGCTTTTTCGGGCTGTCTTTCTTATTTAATTTTCTAATTTTAAGACAAAAAGATTTTAAAAAACAGATTTAAAAACAGCCCTATAGGGAATCTCCCATCTCCTGCCTGGCTTAGGTAGCTGCTTCTGCAAGGACAGGGTGCTTCTGAGCATGTATCTATGGCAGACCTCATGGGAACTGCTTTTAATTTTCTCACTGTCTTCCCTCCGCCCGCCCCCCAGGAAGTTCTGAAGCACCTGCAGGGCAGACTGGAACAGGAAGCCAAAGTGATGGTCTCGTCGGGCCAGATGGAGGTCCTGGATCAGCTGAAAGGTGAGCAGAAAGAAGCTTTGGTTCAATTTTTCGTGAGTCTGAAAGGATTAAAAATATTAGAAGAAAAAAAACTAGAAATACATATTTTCACCATGTATTTCCAAGAATGGGCCACTAGAGAGAGACAGAGAGCATGATGGGCTCTGTCTCCCTCGAGTGGCCAGTTCTGGTAATACACGGTAAAAACACTTTTTTTCCCCTGGATTTTTCTCTTTTACCCTACTATGTCTAGTGTTCGCTGTGATCCACAGTCTAAATCTAAGTCTAAATCCCCAGTTCAATCATGGTACTCCTTTTCCAGCTCTCCAGATGGACATCACCAGCTTATACAACCTGAAGTTCCACCCTCCGGCCCTCCTCCCAGAGCCGGTCTGCCAGTTGCCCACCCCGGAGGACAGCCCGGCCCGTTCGTCCAGCCTCCAGAGGAAGGACAGCCTGGGGGACCTGAGCCACGCCACCCTCCGGCTCTTAGAGGAGCTCGACCGGGAGAGGTATTGGATTGTCAGTGTTCCTGGGGAAGGGGCTGTGAGTCTTCCCCCTTCAGTAGCAACAGCTTTGCCTTCCACCATCCTTCCTTCTATCCATCATCAGCTCCTTCCTTCTATCCTTCTTATCCATCATCAGCTCCTTCCTTCCATCCATCTATTCCTTCCTTCCTTCCTTCCTTCCTTCCTTCCTTCCTTCCTTCCTTCCTTCCACCCATCCATCCCTCTATTCCTCCCTCCCTTCCTTCCTCTTATCCATCATCAGCTCCTTCCTTCCTTCCTTCTCTCATTACAACTTTCTTCCTGCCCTGCCAGGTGTTTCCTGCTGGGGGAGATTGAGAAGGAGGAGAAAGAGAAGCTCTGGTATTACACCCAACTGCAGAGCCTCTCTAAGCGCCTGGACGAGCTCCCACATGTGGAGACGGTGAGTGCAAATCACCCATCCAGACCACAGCCGGTCAAATCTAGAGCGGGCTGAGGTCTAGCGTCTCAGGTGCAACTCTGTGGCCACAGCTTCACCGGCAGGCTGTCGGGCCCGCCAAACTGCTAATTGTGGCTAATTACAGCACAGGGGTCACGATCCTGCTTGTGCACCTAATTGCACAACCAAAGGGCATTGCAATCAATTAGCCATAATTAGGCCCGGCAATTTATGCAAGCTTTGCACAAAGACCTGCTGGGCTCCATCCCGTATGTCTTTTTCTTTGTGTGTCTGGGCATTCCAAAACATTGCTAAAATTAAAATTCTTAGCAAAATGTGCAACTTCAGCCCATCGATGTTGTGTTTCCAATGCAAGTTAACAAAGCCGTTAGTGCTTGATGTAACTATTTTCTTATCTTCCTTTTTCATGGTGGTGGGGGAATCTGTGTTTTGGCTCAGACAATTTCTACACCCCGGCCTTAATTTTCTTATTTACACAACTGCAGGCAGTTTTGACTACGTTTTGCTTTTTATTTACTCACTTTGTTGCCATGCATTGCCTCTCTGATTGTCACCACTGACTTTGACTTTTAATATTTATCGCAACTGATGTATATATAGTATGTTTTCAGATCAGCCACGTAAAAAAGGTGCAGTGCTCCCTCTCCCAAAAAAATTAATCATGTGCCTTTAAGTCAGTCCTGAGTTATGGCAACCCTTTTCAGGTTTTTCCAGGTAGAGAATACTCAGAGGTGTATTACCACGTCCTTCCTCTAGGGGCGCCCTGGGATTGTGCTGCTTGCCCAAGGCCACCCAGGCTGGCTCTTCTCCCAGGAGGCCCAGTGGGGTGGGATTTGAACTCACCACTTCTGGCCCTGCAGCCAGAAACCTACACCCTTGAACTATCCAGCCCTCTGTACCCTGAAAAGCCTGCAGCTCAACCTTTTAAATCAATGAGTTGGAGGCCTGACTCTGTGTAGAGGAGGCAACCCACACCTTGAAACCGAGAGGCGAGTTGGAGGCAAAAGGCCGCTAATGTGCTGGCAGAGAAGGGAGTCCCAGGAAGGTTGGCAACCGTCTGTCCGCAGAACCCGCTTCTCTCACCCTCCTCTTCCTTCTCTTCCACCCTGTCCAGTTCTCCATGCAGATGGACCTGATCCGTCAGCAGTTGGAATTCGAAGCCCAGCATATCCGGACACTCATGGAAGAGCGTTTTGGGACGACCGACGAGATGGTGCAGAGAGCCCAGGTGGGGGGGGCAGTCCCTTCCGTTCTTTCTTTTTTTCCATTTCTTGTATTCCGAAGAATACATTCTTAAACTCTTTCTTTCTTTCTTTCTTTCTTTCTTTCTTTCTTTCTTTCTTTCTTTCTTTCTTTCTTTCTTTCTTTCTTTCTTTCTTTCTTCTCTAAATCCAACTGCTAGTCCCAACTACAGTAGACGCATTCAATCTTTTACTTCCTTCTCATTCTTGAACTGTCCTTCCTTCATATCAGAGCGTTGCACAATTTATATACCTATTTAAAATAGTGGGTCTTAACCTTTGTTACTTGGATGCTTTTGAACTGCAACTCCCAGAACCTTTTGCTTCCTTCTCATTCTTGAACTGTCCTTTCCTTCCTATCAGAGCGTTGCACAATTTTAAACTATACACCTATTTAAAATATAAAGTAAAAAAAATGGAAATGCTAAGATAATTGGACTCTGAGAGGGGGCAGATGCTGAGAAGTCAATAGAAGTTAAAAAAACAAATGGAAATGCTAAGATAATTGGACTCTGAGAGGGGGCAGATGATGAGAAGTGAATAAATAGATTAACAATGGGAAAAACATGCATTCCAGTGGGGGGGGGAGGGCGGGAAATCCATTGCAAGAAAATAGATTAGAAAAGCTGCAAAAATTAAAACCTGATAGAACAAGGTGACGTCTCCCTTTCTCGAAAAACCCCGCAGATCCGGGCATCACGGCTAGATCAAATCGACAAAGAGCTGATGGAAGCCCAGGACAAAGTTCAACAGGGAGAGACACCGGTAAGGGCATCCCAGAATCCTTTGCAAAAAGGGGGGGGGAAGCGGACAACTGTCCTGGGTTCCCCTTTTGCAGGCAGTGGCATCAGTGGACAGGGCTGTGGCTACAGTGGGCGGGGCCAGAAGGAACAGTGGGTGGGGCCAGAACCACCTTGTGGGCGGAGTCTCTGTTTTTTCCAGCAGTTCCAGAATCTCGCTCTGCAGTCTCTTCAATTCTCCGATCCTGATTATGAATGCAACAGGAATCCCCCCTTTTATCTACCAGATCAGTATCCGCTAATTCACTTATCCACGGTCTTAAAATATGAAAAGAAACATCCCCCCAAAATATATATATACACGTATATATATTTTAACAACGACGTTACCAGAACTAGAGAGAGCCAGTGACCAGGCAATGTCTAACCTTCACTATTAAAAGAGGGAGAAAGGGAGAAAGAATGAAGACATTTCACAGACGTACAGATCAACCGCAAACTGACAAACAATGACCGTTTTCAGCCACAGGCTGAAAAAGAGGGAAAGAGCACAGAGCAGAGAGGCGGGGCTCGCTTTGAAATCCGAGGCAGGGAAGGGACGATTGGTTGGTGCTAGGCTGATTGACGGTCACCCCAGCCATGCCTCCCAGAGGCAGCCTGCAAGGTTGCAAAAAGTCCAATGTCTTTTCGCCGTGGGAAGCCTTGGTCTGGAAACCAGAAGGGATATCTGGTTCAGGATAGAGACCAAAAAAAGAAAAAAACAGTGTTTGGGTCTGATCACAAGCCTAGCCTTCCCCTTCAAAAGAAACTAAAGTGTCAAAAAATTTCACCCCACCAATTTTGCAGGCGGGGGGGCTCAGTGCTTTATATTGCCAAACCTTAAGGTGGGGAGGGCGGAATGGAAAAATAGCCCTATGTCATGAATGCAGCCTCCTGTGGTTCTGAAGAGAGGTGGCTGGAACGCCCCCCCATCTTCTGGGAGCTTGTCCAGGGTTGCTGTTACCACTACACCACCCTGCCTCCCTCTGCCGTCCTTCCTTGCGTCCTTCTCTCCACCCCTGTAAGAAAACTTGATCAGGCAGAAGGAGATGGTTTCGGACGCCCTTCTGTCTTCCCGTGGCTCCCGCCCGTGGCGTGCTGCGGTGCCGTGATGCTAACGCCTCGTGGCAGCCGGAGGGAGAGGCGCCGTGCGCTGGAGCCAAATGGCTCCTGCCATGCCCATCTGGAGAGCTGGAAGACGGCTTATGTTTTCTGTGCAGTTGGATCCCAGCCTCGGCGGCGTTGACGTCTCGGGAGGAAGCCACGGGGAAAAGGCGTGGGAAACGGAAGAGGAGAAACCCCGAGCATTGCAGAAAGGCGAGGCAGAGTTGTTCCCAACCCACCATGGTCCAGAACGGGTTTTGAACGGGGAGCAATGGGGCAGCATAGTGGTTAGAGCACCACATAAGCCGCTGTGAGCCACACAAGGGACAAAATCCTCGTGCATTTTATGGGGCTCCTTGGGAGAAGCATTGGGGGGGGGTCCCGCACCGACATTTGTTCCTAAATAACTGCAAAGATCCCAAATATGTCTGGGCTCCCTGCACCGAGGAGGGAGGTCAATGTCTGGAGGGCCCGCCAGGGAACATCTTGTGGGTTCCCTCAGTGGCTCCGGAGAGGGCGCGAGATCGTGAAAAAAAAAAGACCAGGGCATTACTGAGCATGTCTAAAAGGCAATCCTTTCTGTTGTGAGCCTTGACCCCCAAATCCGGGGCTTGAGGGCTGTGCCGCTCCCCCCACACTCCTCAAGATTTCCAATGCCTGGACCCCGAATCCCTAAAACTGATTTTTGGGGCCAAAATATGGAGTATTGCAATGTTGTATATACTGTACTCCTATATAGATGGCATCTAGCAACCCGGTAGGTCGGTCGATAGATAGAAGGAAGGAAGGAAGGGATAGGTAGGTAGATAAAGGGATTAGTTGATAGATAGATTCACACAAATGCACAGCAAAAACTAGTACAAAATAGTTTCCCAGGCAGAGAAAAGGGGCCATAAACTGTTAGGGCTTTGGCCGTAAATGAGGAACCTTTGGAGGGCATGAGAAATCCTTCGAGCGAGGTGCCGCCCCGGAGAGCTTTCTGCTCGTCCAGGGAAGGAGATGCCCCTCCTCTGGCTTTTGTGTTGGGTCTCAGGGCGCCCTGGGCGGGGAGGGAGGGGGGGAAAGGGAAAATAATCAGGGCGGTTGCCATGGAGACAAGAAGTAGGCCAGCAAGACAAAAAGGATGGAGGCGCTGGACCGCCCAGATCACACATGCATGCGCGCACACACACACGTCTCTCCTTTTGCCCTGCACCTCGGCGGCTGACATCGGCCCAGCTGGGCATCCCAATACGTTATTCTGAACCCAGAGGAAAGGAAATCCTTAAAGCCTCTCTGGACCTCCCTTCTCTGTTTTCCTTTCCTTCCTTGGAAGGAAAAATAGATAAATATTTTTATTCAAAAAATCAGGCACCGTCTGTCCAAAGGATAAAAACTGGTCTTCTCTAACATGTTTTAACCAAAAACCTAAGCATCTGTTAAATATAGATGTTAAGAGCCGTGCTTTGTGATGAGTATCAGTACTGTATTAAAAATATTTTTACCCCGCCTTTGTCCTCAAAAACAACCTAAGGCAGCTTACAATACTGAAAGACACGATTTCAAGCTGGAAACTGTGTATAAAGAGGCAGCTCACATAATTAACAGGCAATTAAAATTTCTTTGTTTTGGGGAGACCCTTGGGACTCCTCTGCCATGGCATTTACAGTAGGACCCCTATATACATGGTGGTTTGTTTCCGAACCCCGCCATGCAGATGCTGAAAAATGTGGATAATAGCAAACGCTACACCTAACATGGTCTCTGGCTCCCTCTAGCAAACAGTTCTGGTAACGGCACCATAGAAATCTATTTCTCTAGGGAGTACTATAGACAGCGTGGTCTCTAGCTCCCCGTAGCGGTCGATTCTGGTAACTACATCCTTAGAAATACATATTTCCAAGAATTTTTCTTTTAATATTTCAGACCGTGGATAAGTGATTCAGCAGATGCGGATTATGTGGATACTGGGGTCCGCATCGATCCATTTCAAAATTGGCCTCTAAGTGGCACGAGGGGCTTTTTTACACGTTCAAAAAAAGTTTGTAAGGCGGGGGGGAATAAAGTTGGTGGGAGTTAATGGAGCTGATGCAGCCCTTTTGAGGTCAAAGCCCCTTCTCGACCTCGGTGCACAAACTATCTGAGCCATCAAATCCTCATCAGAAGGATGAAAGCTAGAATCTTTACTTCAGGGAAGAAATTCAGCACGGTGGCAGGACAGCGGAAGGTTCTGAGTTCAAATTCCCACCATTGCCAGTTAAAGGGACATAAGAGCAGGTGATGGGAAGAGTTACCTCCTCGTCGAGGAAAACCCAGAATTAAAACGGCTGCCAGAGGCCGCCTGGATGCCGTCCAACCCCAAACGGTCTCATGGGGTCTTTGTGTTTTCATTCCCCCCCCCCAGCTCTGCGGGAAGCCGGCTTGCCCCGACGGGGACGAGGGCCTTGAGGTCCCGACTCATCCCGAAGAAGCAGAGAATGGCCCGGGGAACAGCAAGGTAGAAGAAGAAGCAAAACGATGGCTTCAAGCCAATGTGGTTTTTAAAACGTGGATTGAACAGGAAAATATCCTGCAACGATGCTCAGTTGCCAAGCATCGCTAGTCTAGCGAGTCCTGTCTTCTTATAAGGTGCCCAAACGACAACCCTCTCAGTTTGTGTGAAAAGGGTTTTGAAGTTTGGGTTCAGCTGCTGTAGCTGAACAGCAGAAGGGCTGCGATTCCCAGAGCAGGAATAGCTTCAAGTTCTCCAATATCGTCCACCGCTATTTATTTATTTATTCATTCATTCATTAGAATAGCTTCAAGTTCTCCAATATCGGCCACTGCTATTTATTTGTTCATTTATTCATTCGATTGGTTGGTTGGTTGACGAATGGATTCACTGACGGATGGATAGATACGTTGCTCTATTAGTGCCAGTTTTATGGGTTGAAATGTAAAATGTTAAAATTTGCATCTTTTCGGGCGGGAAGAACGGCCAGGGTAACTATCTTTTAAAATAAATTAACCCAACAAACAAACAAATAAAAACCCCACCAAGCAAAACTCCCACCAGATCTTGACTTAGTCCCTGTTTTGACATCCCTCCCTGACGACCTCTTGGAGGCTGGCAAGTTACGATGATGATGATGATTTTTTTTGGGGGGGGGGCGCATCACGACCAGTAAACCAATTTTGCCGCTTGGTCATGCCAAATTCGGTCACCTGTTTGTGCGAACTTTGCAGATTCGCAGACCAGGAGGGCCATGTGGTTGCGCTTTGACGCCCCCTGGTGTCTGCGTCGGTCACTGCAGCCTGACTCACCTTTCCGTTCCTGATCTTCCCCAGGCGGAGGTGGTCTTCTGGCTCCTCTCCATGCTGGCCACTCGGGACAAAGAGGACATGTCGCGCACCTTGCTGGCCATGTCCAGCTCCCAGGAGAGCTGCCTGGCCATGCGGAAGTCGGGCTGCCTCCCACTCCTCCTCCAGATCCTCCACGATGCTGACCGGGAGCCGGGCGCTCCAGAGAGCCCCCAGGGAGGCGGCGCCACCGGGAAGGACTGCCGGATGCGGGCCAACGCTGCCCTGCACAACATTGTCTTCTCCCAGCCAGACGAAGGGCAAGCCAAGAAGGAGATGAGGGTGCTCCACGTCCTGGAGCAAATCCGTTCCTACTCAGAGACCTGCTGGGATTGGCTCAACGTGCCGAACAAGGAAGGGGCCCAGAACACCCTTGAAGGAGGAGCAGGTAGCCAAGGAGCCTTCCTTCCTTCCCTCCCTCATTCCTTCCTTCCTCTTATCCATTCACCAGCAACTTCCTTCTATCCATCATCATCTTCCTTCCTTAGCGTCTTGATCCCTTCCTCCCATCATTGGCCTTCCTTCCTCCCTCCATTTGCCTTCCTTCCTTCCTCAGCTCCTTCCTTCCATCCTTCCTTAGCTTCTTCATCTCTACCTCCCATCATTAGCCTTCCTTCCTTTCCTTCCTTCCTCAGCTCCTTCTTCCATCATCAGTTCCTTCCTTCCTTCCATCCTTCCTTAGCTTCTTCATCCCTTCCTCCCATCATTGGCCTTCCTTCCTCCCTCCATTTTCCTTCCTTCCTTCCTTCCTTCCTTCCTTCCTTCCTTCCTTCCTTCCTTCCTTCCTCCCTTCCTTCCTCCCTTCCTTCCTCAGCTCCTTCCTTCCATCCTTCCTTCCTTCCTTCCTTCCTCCCTCCCTCCCTCCCACCTTCTCTTCCTTCTGTGTGCATTATCTGCACTAGGCCATTAGCGCAGTTTGATCCCAGTTTCGCTGCTTGTCTGCCATCCTGTAGAATCCTGGGACATATGATTTGGTGTGATCTAGTGAAAGCTGGAGGCGCCAACGACTCAGGAGCAGTGAGACCCCTCCAGGTTTGAATGTGAACTTTATAGGTCTTATTCACTTGGGTTCCACCGCTGGATAGCTCCGAAGTTCAGCTGCGGAGCCTGAGATGGGGAATTTGAATCCCCCGTGGGGCCTCCTTGCCAGGGGATGATCTCGGGGGTCCCTTCCGGCTCTGCCCTTCTACAATTTAGTACAGTATTATTATAACATCCCAGGCAGCACCACTGAGGAGTATATATTCAGTGCCTTGGGCAGCCCCTGTAAATGTCAGACTGAAAGCCGGAGCGGAGTCATCGTCAGTTTTTTCCTCGTAACCTTGGGATTGACCTCCGGGCTGTTCAAAGTGGTATCAAACTGGTCTAAACTCGGCCGGGTGGGCTTTCTTCGGCTTAGCTGGGCTTGACACTGACCTTGTCTTGGATTGTTCCATAGGCCCCGTCCCCATCGAGCCCCAGATTTGCCAGGCCACCTGCGCCATCATGAAGCTGTCATTTGACGAGGAGTATCGGCGCGCCATGAACGAGCTGGGTGAGTGACGCTCGGCAACGGGCCAGGTCAAGGGTCTTTAGCTGTGCGGTGGACTTCGGCATGAAGAAATTCCCACCAGTCCTTGTTTAAAAAGCTTTCTAACTCCTGTATCTGCAGGGGATTCGTTCCAAGACCTTCCACGGATGCCGAAAAACGTGGGTGATAGCAAACGCCCCTTTTAATAGCCATGGCTTGGTCTCTGCTTCCCCCTAGTGGCCAGTTCTGATAACTTCATCTTTAGAAACCTGTATTTCTAGGATTTTTTTAAAAAAATCTTCAAACCGTGGATAAGAGAATCAGCCGAATCCGAGCCCATCGGATTCAGGGGTTTCTCCTTGTCTTTGTTTCATCCTTTTCCCCACTCTCCTCTCTCCTTCCCTGTCCAGGCGGCCTGCAGGCCATTGCCGAGCTGCTTCAGGTGGACTACGAGATGCACAAAATGACCAGTGACCCCCTCAACCTGGCCCTGAGGCGATACACCGGCATGGCGCTCACCAACCTCACCTTCGGAGACGTGGTCAACAAGGTACCCCTGTGGACTCCTGGGCCTTGAGGGTCGGGGGACGGGACCCATCAGGCAGAGTGGCAAAATGCCACTCTTTAAGCACAGCCAGTGACCATCGCGAAAGCCAAAGGGACCAGAAGATTAAGTGGAAAAAATATCACGCACTGTGCCAAGCAGACTGCTTTCTCCAGTTGAGGGAGCACCCCTTCTAAAAACATGCTAGGCGTATCATTAAGCCATCTCTCACCCTAACCTCTCTCGGAGGGGCATTGTGCCAATGCAATATGAAGGAGGACAGCCCTCTACCTTGTAGTTTGAACCCACGGTAAGACAGGAGGGAGGGAGGTCCTCCGGGGGCCTTGCATCAGGCGGCAAAATGTTTTAAAATCCTGGTTCTTTTTATTCTCCTTTCCCCGCTTCTCCTTCTTCCTTCCTGCCAAGGCCACCCTGTGTGCCCGCCAGCGATGCATGCAGGCCATCGTGGCGCAGCTGGCGTCAGGCAACGAGGAACTTCATCAGGTGAGCAGGCGGAGCGAGGCAAGGTGGGGGGCATGCGCAGAGCAGCCTCAGCGGTCATGGCTGTCCGGGTGCATCAAGGGGCCTTGTGGGGCATCTCACCCTCCATCCCAAAAAATTGAGTGTGTATGTGTGTCTTCACCCACTAAAGTAAACTGGGCTGGCGCCAAGGTCTGCCCTCTGTGAATCGGACTTGGGGCCTGGTGCACCCCAGGAACGCTCTTCCTCCCTTCCTCTCAGGTAGTCTCCAGCATCCTGCGCAACCTCTCCTGGCGAGCTGACATGAACAGCAAGAAGGTCCTCCGGGAGGTGGGCAGCGTGGCCGCGCTCATGCAGTGCGCCTTACGAGCCAGCAAGGTGAGCGTAGGTGTGTGTGTGTGGGGGGTTTGGCAACCCTTGCTATTCTCTCCACATCCCTGTTTAGTTTTTACCCCGTGAGGTCCTGGTCCCCCTCTATTGACTCCTCCTCTAGAGTCCTGGGTTCCAGTTCTGGACACCCCACTTGAAGAAGGATGATGACCAAGTGGAATCAGTTCAGAGGAGGGCACGAAGGAGGGTCAGCTTAGAAATCCACCTGTCTCATCCACCCGTCCGTCCGTCCGTCCGTCCCTCTATCTATTTATCTATCTGTCTGTCTGTCTGTCTGTCTGTCTGTCTGTCTGTCTGTCTGTCCGTCCGTCTGTCTGTCTGTCTGTCTATCCGTCCACCCACCCGCCCGTCCATCCGTCCGTCCGTCCGTCCGTCCATCCATCCATCCATCTCTTTCTTTCAATTCCTTCTCCCTTTCTTTCCCTTCTTGCCTTTGTTCCTTCCATCTATCCATTGATCCTCAGTCGATCAGGAAGGAAGGCAGGAAGGAAGTTTCTTCGTTAATAACTTGCCCCTTCCTGACACAGCGCTTGTCTCGGGCTCTCCCGCTTCCCTTCTCCGTTTGCCCTCCTCCCCACCCTACGAGGCAGAAGAGGCTCTTGAGTCTTCCTGGGCTTGTTGGGGACTAGAACCCCAATGTGCCCATCCGACCCCCGCCCCGGGAGCTGACGCTACGCTGCTTTCTCTCTCTCTTTCTCTATCTCTCTCTCTCTGTGTGCCAGGAATCCACCCTGAAGAGCGTGCTGAGCGCCCTGTGGAACCTGTCGGCTCACAGCACCGACAACAAGGCCGCCATCTGCGGGGTGGACGGAGGCCTCGCCTTCCTGGTGGGCACCCTCACCTACAAATGCCAGAGCAATTCACTGGCCATCATCGAGAGCGGCGGAGGAATCCTGAGGAACGTCTCCAGCCTCGTGGCCACCCGGGAGGACTACCGGTCCGTCCTTTTTCTTCTGGACCTTTTTCTGCACCTTCTCCCCCTGTATTTTTTTTGGGGGGGGTGAGGTGGGGTGGAGGGGTGGGGTGGGGAGGAGGCTAACGCAATACCCTATAGGGACGAATCAGGATTTCGGCTCCTCTGGCTGAAATTCAGGGAGTTGTACTCTCAAAAATAAATAAAAAATCAGACTACAGATCGCATTATCCCCCAATCAGCTCTGCTTTATGGGAGTTGTACTCAAAAATAAGATGACCAAGTGGAACCAGTTCAGAGGAGGGCATGAAGGAGGGTCAGCTTAGAAATCCACCTCATCCATCCATCCATCCTTCCTCCCTTTCTTTCTTTCTTTCTTTCTCTCTTCCTCTCTTCCTCTCTTCCTCCCTTCCTCCCTTCCTCCCTTCCTCCCTCCCTCCCTCCCTCCCCCC